ATTGATTAGATTTGCAATAGTATTTAGTTATCTTGTTAATAAATGGAAAAAACAAGCATATCTAGATATAAAAAACTAAATATGGCCGCTTTTCATGGAATGCCAGCTGTATAAAAAAACGAAAGAGCATTTTAATGTTACAATTAGTGAAACTCACGTTATAATCTACAAACGAAATGTTGAACCTGTAATCACTTATCAAGCAATTCTAAATAACCAAATATATTAGATAATTGCCTTTTGTTATCGAGCACATACACAAAATAAAACAAGTAGCTCGATCAACCTTCACCCATCAAAAGAAAGAAATATTCCGAAAAGCTTACTTAAGAACCTAAATTTTTGATTTTACAAATGACCTTGAAATACCAGCGGCTTCAAGACCGTACCAGTAACATGCCTGAATATTTTTCCCAGGAGGGTATAATTATTAAATGTCGTTAATACTTAATATGAAATAAAACTGAAACGTTATTTATAACGTTACATCTATCAGCTCTAGTTAAAATATACAGTCTGTTACTTTGTGGATAATTATAAAATTTTTAAAATAATTAAAAAATCTGCACTTTTCAGTGTGTTATTTAACTCGTTCATCTTGCGGGATCTCGCTCTGCTCATCCCTCAAATATTTACTTGCTACTTAAAATAAGATTGCATTATTAGTTATTTAATTTTTCATATTTATTAACTTATAATTTCATATAAAGTCAATATAAATATTTGAACGTACTAAGCTATTAATTGGAATATTCTCACTTAATAAATTGAGGGACAAATTGAAACACAGTCTTTAATCAGACACTCTGTACCTATATATTAAAAACATTACTCATGTGACACAACTACCGCATTAACCCAAATTCCAGGCTCCTCATTGCATCCATTTAACTACTAAACTCTAGTGTTGGTTTCCGGCTTGTTCCGACCATCGCAGATTCAGTGAAATCCGTTGAACAATGGACAAGAAATGAAAATGCACTTACGGCAGGAAGTTTGCGCTTACAAACGCTACTGGGATTGCGATATGTCGATAAACGTTCCGAGGCAAGGAATAAAGAATTCTACGAAGATCAGAGGGGGAGATAAAATCTCTTTTTTTTTTTTTTCATCGCGGGAGGTATACTAGTAATATTATTTCTGCCACTTCTGTTAGAATTTTCGTTATTGGAACTACCGAGTTTTTTTTTACAAGGTAGATATACATATATGCGGACAAATATATTACATATTTTCATTGTTTTAATTTTTTTATTGTCTATATCTCCAAGGTTAATACATTAGAGGACTAAAGATATAATGATAAATAACGGATCAATTAAGCCGAAGCCTTTCTGCTCAGAACCGGAGATCAGCACATCTAGGACATTTAAAAAGTTTCAATACTACAGAGTAGGATAAAATGGAGACCAGTCTGCCACCAAAAGGTATGATATTCCGTGGTATACAAATGATTTCAAATCCACAGAAGTAACTGAAGCTAGATGATTTGGATGGTTAAAAAAATGTCACATGTCCAATGAGCAAGCAGCCATTAAAACGCTAAAGCCAATAAAGCGATAAGCTCTAATGTAATCAACTTAAAGATGGTGTAAAAATCTTTAGGAAAACCAAATGAGCCAGTAGAGAGGGTACAGTGCGCCCTGGTGCATACCAAATATTTTTTAAGATATTATGATCATACCATTTCACAAAAGTGGAAGTCTTACAGATATAAATAATTATAGACCTAAAATGTTGAAAAAAATTATCTACTCAAGAATGTTTAACTTTTAATCAAAATACAATATATTGTCTGCTAAACAATTTGGATTCAAAGTTAATAAATCTACCTCATATGCCATTGCCAGTTTAACTGAATTGATATATAATTCTATTGATAAATCCAAACCAGCAATATGTATTTTTATTGACCTGGCAGAAGCAAGGGTCCCAGGTTCGAATCCCACCGTTTTCCGGATTTTTTTCATTTAATTTAATTATTTAAAATTAATTCTGATGCCTTGGTAGGATTCCCCACTCGATCATTCACTGTTGGGTTCTGATTAACAGTGATGTGCCTAAAGTGGCGCTGGGAAACAGTAACAAAGCCTACACAGAACACGAGGCGAAATAACCTTAGCAGTTAAAGCCGATGACACAAAAAAAATCAGCAAACATTGATTCATATTTTTAATGATATTTACCTACTAATCGTGGATAGATGTTTTTTGTGCGATGTTAAGAGAAAGAAAATGTTTCCTTTAACGATAAATATCAAGATATATTTGAATATTATTTTCTAAAAAACTTTAAGGGCAAACAAAATTAGCACTGTCATGCCTTATGTGACTTTTTTAATATAAAATATTTTTTTAAGCCACTTTGCTCAGGATTGAGATTGGCACAGAAGCCATTTGGTAAAGTACGATGTTTTTCCATGCTTTTGGGGTATATTTCATTTCGTCATCGGATGACGGTAAAAATTTGTAGTGGGCTCTTGGGCTACAACGAGGTATACGACTCTTCAGTTAAACATTCCTAACATCCCTTGGTACAAGCATTATAAAATACCGCGAAATCATTAGGATGAGATTTGGTCATGCTTGTTATCTTAGCCATTTATACAAAATTAAAGTCTCTGAAAGTGATCAATGCGAGACGTGTAATGGAAAAAGAGATCTAGACCATATCTTCTTTAATTGTACTAAAAACAAAAAAATCTCTGACCAGCTATATAACGACCTGCTTAAATGCAAAATATGCTCTTCTTGGTATATTCAAAGTTTATTGTCCTCGAATTCTACAAACATTTATGACTGCGGGCTGTCGTTGTCAAGTGGCTGTCTGTCGAGGAACTTTTTCGGTTGTGTTAAAAATTATTATTGCTTTTCATTTTTTGTTACATGCTTTCTACGATTAAACTTGTTAAATAAACCTAGGTTTTCTTGATTGAACCCGAGGATAATTAGAAGCCTCATACTGCTTGATTAAATTTTTAATAGAATCAGGTATACATTTGTGATTAGTACTTCTCTTAGACTCGTTGCTTTCTTTCCTATGGTTTTATTTTACCCCTTACCGTGACCTAGTGTATGTCTGTTTTTTTTATATCCCTGATGGGTCCCAATGCGAGAAGCGAGTTTAATCCTCTTGTTGTTATTTGAAATGGAATTTAATGTCTTCTCTTTTACATTTATTATTTGTTTGTTAATATACCTCTTCCATTTTATGACTAGCTATATGACAAAGAGTCTATGCCAAAAAAAAAGGAATATAATCACGTACCAGCTGAAATAAAAAAAAATTAATTCTTATAATCATTTCAAAAATAAAATAAAAAATTGGATACTCAACATTCTCGAAAATTCGTTGAAACAGTTTTTGACAATCAATAGCAGTAAATTATAATTATTTGTTATATATAATAAGAAAAAATAATTACATAACTAATGTTTATTCTAATTTCTAATTTGTCCAATGTTTATTCTACTTATTGTTTATATTGTTTCATATCTTTTTATTAAATAAGTCTTTTACTATTTTATTTTGTTTAAAGTTGAATAAGTATGTATGTACTGTTGATTTTAACACATTAATAATATTGTCTATTTTAAATAATTTAATTAAATGAATTTAATATTCTAAACGGAAAGATAACGCTCGCACACAAGCTTTATTATTATTATTAATATAACAAGATATACAATTATTATAGAATCAGTTAAATTTAGTTGACAACTATAAATCAAAAGAAGTATCAATCCTGCATACCTATCATTATTCCTTTTGGGCTGACAGGGCCTTAAGTAGAATTCGTAATAAATTTTATCGAAAAACAAAAAAAAAACAAAAATTTCTAGTGCAGCAATGTTCTATTCCTTCATCATAATCCCATCGGCGTTGTTTTCGGATCCACTATGAATCTCTTCCTTCAAAAGTGTTTCTGCCGCTTGGGATAATATATTGCACTCATATTTTACATTCTGTTGGAAACAATATGTTCCCCAGTTTCCTCGTACCAAACATCTACCTGCATGAACTGAGCCAATAAGAGCATAAAGAAATAAGAAAAGCAGCAAAAATAAAAAGTATATGTACCCTAGTTTAGAATGTCGTCAAATTGATTGCTAATAATTTTTCTCCAAGAATATACAGAAATTTTCCTAGATGTTTTCAAACTTGAAATATTGCACCGTTTACGTTTCGCAACTTATTTTCATTATGGCCTCCTTCCGTTTTATTTATCGAGGGGAGAGTGGAAGAGTTTCTAGATCTAGCCTGTAGCGAACATAATTATTCAGATTCTAATTGACTATTTATAATAGTTATTTAAAATAATATATTTTATGATATTCTTGTTCATTATTGCCAACTAATCAATAGTGTATTTTATATCAGTGTGTTGATAATGTTCGTTTTTAGTAACCTGTATTAATTAAATAACAAAACTAACTAGACTTAAACTAAACTAAAGTGGAAGGACAGGAACACATAGTCTAAGATATCTACTTAAACCGACCTTCTTTTGTTCTTTTTCCTAATTAAACATATATTGATATTTGGACCTGAATATATTACTTTCATCACTTAACCTCAGTTGTTCACAGTTGTTTTTGTGTTGTTGATACACTTGTCAAAGTGTATATGACAAAATTGAATTTCTTTACAAATATAAAATTCCAGTATAAGTAATGTACAGCCTAAGTAACTGTAATGATAATGCTTTTGAGAAAAAAATAGGTAAAATTCATGCACATATGAGGAGCAAAATTTCAAAAGGAATATTATCCAATTAATTCAGCTTCTGAGTTATAGGTGGCGATAGATGCTTTAATACTGCATCTATATGGTACCAAATAAAGGCGTTTCAATAAAAATTTTATCCCATATAAAATAAATGTCAAAAGATTGCAGTTTTTTCAAAAAGATTTTTATCCTAAGGTTTCTTTTCAAATGGAATTTTATTTTGTTTGTTGTTGTTTTCATTGAATATTGGTATAAATCAGCTCGTATATAAGTATCAGTGTCATAATAGGTTCTTGAGCAGTGTATTTAAAGAAAAACATGGATTTAGAAGTCGAAAAAGGAAGAAGAAAACAACAAAAAGAGAAGCAGCAAAGCAATTAAGGTAATTAGGACAACAACATAATTTTTAACCCTACTTTTTTATATTATATTTATTATTGTAGATATTTGGATCATTTTCCAAATTTGGAAACCTTTGAACGTCCCTGCATGCATAATGGACCCACGTATAAATGTTTTAAAATAACAAGACGTGACATAACTGTCGCAAGAAAAAAAATTTTAGAAATTCCCGATAAGCATGTTCAAGACAGAAAGTTAAGTTATTTGTGTAAAGTTTTCGAACCCAAGAGGTACAGGGAAAAATACAGGGCTAATTGCAGAAATCAAAAACACGTTTTATCAGCAAAATACAACATGGTTAGGGAAAATGGGAAAACCTACAGAGTGTGCCAAAAAATGATTTTAAAATGTTTTGGAATTACTTTAAAACGGTTACATACAATTACAAGAAATATAAGATTTGGATCTGACATAAAGGAGAGAAGAGGAGGATACAGGCGTTCAAAAAAGAATGATGAAAAAAGAGAAGAGGTTAAAAAGTTTCTTGGAAAGCTTCGTGCTAGAGAAAGCCATTACAATCGCCAAAAATCAAAACGATTGTATTTACCTGCCCATTTCAATATAAAGAAATTGTGGAAATTGTACAATGCCAGTGTTGCTGAAAGTTACAGGGTAAAATATGGTGTTTTTAATAAGATTTTTTCTGTTAATTTTAACATTGGCTTCGGGTCACCAGCTTCGGATGTTTGTAGTTTCTGCTTTAAAAAGAAAAATGAACTAAAAAATTGCACTGATGAATTGCAAAAAGTTAATTTGATGACAGAGTTAAGAATTCATAAATTAAGATCAAAACAATTTCACGTATTGATAAATAAAAATGAAGAAAATAGTGAAGTATTTTGTTTCGACCTACAGCAGGTTTAAAATCTGCCCAAACTACCTGTTGGAGAAGCATATTACTTAAGGCAGCTTTCCTTTTATAATTTTTGTATAACGGATGTTGCAACCTCGTCTCCTTTTTTTTATACCTGGATTGAAACTCAAGATGGTAGAGGAGCGAATGAAGTGGGCTCAGCGATTACAAATTTTTTAAATTCGCATAATTTTTCTGATAATTGCAATGCCTTACGTTTATTTTCAGACGGGTGTGCAGGTCAAAATAAAAATTCTTATGTCATGTATGCTCTGGCCCTTTGGCTGTCAAAAAGTGCTCCTGTAATATTAGAAGAAATTAGAGTTACGTTTCCGGTTAGAGGGCACTCCTTTTTGCCAGCAGATAGGGTGTTTGGACGTCTTGAAAAGAAGTTTAGACAAATAGAAGTAATACTTAATGCTGAAGAGTACATAGAAATTTATAAAGAAGTGGGAACTGTCAAAGAGTTAGGAACAGATTGGACAATCAAAGATTTTAAGGCCCTTGATGCCAGTTTGAAAAAGTTAAGAAGTATAAAAGACACAAAAAGAATAATATTAAGAAAGGATTCTAAGGGAGTTGTAAAAATAAAAATGGAATTATATTACAGAAACGACGACTTAACAAAAAGTTTAGAAATTTTAACAAAAAAAGGTAAAGTTTTAAAGGAGTTGAACGTCAAAGAAAAGGAATTAAAAAACCCAGTAAAGGAAGAAAAAATTAAAAATCTTAAAACATTGCTGTCATTGTTCGATGAAAATTGGCAGCAAGAAGAAAAGCTTTATTTTTTTAAAGAATTGCTATTAGATGAACCACTCCCAGACTCCTCCGCAAACCAAGATGATGAACCTTGTGATTGCAATGAGGATGATGGTGGTGTTTTTATTTAACACTTAAAATTAATATTTTTGTTTCCTTAAAATAATAAAATATTTGATAGTACTTTTTTTATTTTGTAATTATTCCTCTTTCACATTCTTTGATAAAGATTTTTATCCTAAATTTTTGGTTCAAATAGATTATTTTTTTTTCAAAAGGAATTTTATCCTAATTAATTAATTAATCAAATTTGTAAATTAACTACATTTCTAATTTTGACCATTTGGCTTTACAAAGGTTTGTATTACATATATCACTTTACCAATTTAATTTTCGTTAGTCAGTTTTGCACCAATTACAAAACGGCACTTTTTTCCAATTCTTAAAAAAGGGATAATATTCCTTTTGAAATTTTGCTCCTCATATATCTTGTTACTTTCACTTTTTATTCCCCGTGACCACCTGCCATGTTTGCGAGCCATTTTCGGCGAATCAGATCCTGCTCTAATCCCTTGAGGCCCTCTCGGCCTTATTTGGGCCTCTTACAGCCTCGACGTGTTCCGGTATAAAGAATGTTCGATAAAGTAAGTAAACATCTAAAACTTCCCTATGTCACATAGGAATATGGTATCGTCGACCATAATTAATCATTCATTCTAGAATTCACGATGGTAATAGCGTCTCGGCAATGATTTTGGTGAATACGCCATTATATAAAATGTATCCATGATATTCTGACAGATGCAAGATTAGAATGCTGTAGAACGTTCTGATGTATGCGATAATATTCGAGTTGAACAAATTTTTATATAAATAGGCTGGTTTGCTAATAATTGTACTCGATTTGTTTGAGCTGAACATATTTATATTGTTAAAATAAATTAGTATATGAGTAAATGTCCATATAAATTAGTATATAGTTATTTGTATCTTTTTTGACCTGTCTCAATTTCTGATTTAATATTTTTTAATGTTTGTTTTTTGTACGTTTTATTTGCTACTGTTTCCCGGCGCCACTTCAATAAAATCACTATTAATTAGAACCCGCATTAAATGATTGGAGTGGGAACTTCTATCTACGTATAAGAATTATTTGTAAATAAAGTGAAACACGAAAAAAAACCTTTAATTGTTGTTTATAGTACCTAGTTTAGTTTATTATAATAAATCACCTTCTTTATTTTAAACACCACTAAAATATGTGTACCTATAACAGATTTTAGGGGTATTATCTTTCCCAAAAATCATTTCATAATTTTACAGTTTTGAATTATTCCTTAAAAAAAGTAATATGTTGTGATTTTCCCTATAAAACACCTTTTATAAGAAATATGTACCTACTCTGCAATACCATATTGAGTAGTATTTTTTTAAAATATGCCTCTCCAACGTCACAGTAGAATTAATGAGATTTTGAAAAAACTACCATCATACATTTGTGAATCACCCTGTAAATAAAAATGTTTTTAATTGTACGTATGTACTATTGTATTACTAAACATGTAAACGTGTGTATGCAACATAAATTCAATCTAGCTCGAAAGTTTGAAATTAAAAATTCCAAAAAACTGAAACTGTGCAATTTTCAACTTTAACACCCCGTATATCGATAACTAGTGGTAGGATTGAGTCGGGCCCATTGACACTTTTAGTTACTAGGATGAGTACAACAAAATACCAAAGTTTCAGAAAATTTGACCGGTCGGCACTTCATATAAGAAAAGTGCCAGGTCCTTTAAAATGTAAAAGTAAGATTTTTTCTATAACCATTTAAAAATCAACAACTTTTGTCACGTTTTACTTCAATCAAAAATGCCAGTTCCGACACCAGTGATAGAATATCCCATAACGTTAACTTTCGTCTCTAGTGACGAAAGTAACTTGTTGCAATTTCAGATATAAAATTATTTTTGCAGTCTAAGAATTCATTTTTAGGATTTTATAAAGGAGAAGTTCGATTATAATATAAAGGTAGATGCCAAAACAAAGATGGTAAAAGGGAGTTTACCCCTAAATCGCAGATATCGTCTATAAAGATAATTTAACTCATTCAAACTTCTTGTACATCCTATACAGGGTGTTATTGAAATACACGTACATATTAAAATGGGGAATAGTATGTAATGACCAAAAACGATTGGCACCAATTTTAAATTCAAATTCTAAAATTTAAATATTGGGGAAGAGTCCCCTTTTCCGACCTACTAGTTTCCATATTTAAAGAAGTAAAATAAATCGAAATTGAACTTACCCATAGAAATTGCACTGTTGCCGTAGCAAAACCAATTAATTCAAAATAAAGTTTATTACAGTACTTGTTCAAAATGCCGTCAATTATTATTTACACACACTTGCAATCGTCTTTCCAAAGAACTTTGAACATTAGAAATTAGTCTTGGATTTTGTCGTAGTTCCTCAGCTACCGCATTAACTTTATTGGTTAATTGTTCAACACTATTAATAGGTTCATTATAAACCAGTTGTTTCATGTGACCCCACAAAAAGAAATCGCATGGATTTAAGTCCGGAGATCTCGGAGGCCACTTAGTAGGTCCATTTCTGCCTATCCACTTTTGAGGAAATCTAATGTTCAAAAACTGCCGTACGTTTAAATCAAAGTGAGGAGGAGCGCCATCTAGTAGGTACCACATCCGTTGCCTTAATTGTAACGGTATCTCTTCTAGGAGTACTGGCAAAATATCTTCTAAAAAGTGGAGATATCCTGGCCCATTTAATCTGTTCGGGAGAACATAAGGCCCGATTAAATACTGATCTATTATGCCAGCCCAAACATTTATTGAAAATTTTCTTTGATGCCCAGTTTCCCTAATGGCGTGAGGATTTTCATCACTCCAAATATGCGTATTGAGCATATTGAACACGCCATCACGAGTGAATGAAGCCTCGTCAGTATACAATAATATTTTTAGAAAATCAGGAATATCAACACATTTTTGAATCATCCATTCACAAAACTCCACTCTCTTTTCTTCATCACCTGGATATAAGGCCTGGACTTTTTGGATGTGATAAGGATGTAAACCTTGTTCTTTAAGTGTCCGCCACACAACAAATGAGGACACTCCAATTTCAAGACCTAGTCTTCTACAACTTAATTGAGGCCGGTTTTCAACAGCTTCCAATATTTCTTCTTCGGCCGCCAATGTTCTTTGTGTTCTTGTTCTCCCTCGATCTGCATTGACACTCTCAAATTTTCCATGGTCTCTTAGATGCTGAACAGTTGAAATAAACGTACGACAGTCCGGAATTCTCCGATTTGGAAACCGTTCGCGATACAGGATTTGTGCTTGCCGAGAATTTTCTCCAGCTGCCCCATAAACCAGCACTATATCCGTTAGTTCAATATTCGTAAATAGTGGCATCGTAAAAAAATATTTAAAAGTAATCGTAACAACACTTTTTACCAACTTGGAAATGATGCGCTCGTGTTAGCCAGATTCGTAAATCAACTAAAATTTTAATAATCTATAGTTTCAAAAATGTATAGTTTAAAAACAATCATTTATCAAATATTCTAGTTTTTTGATAACGAGGGTAGTAAAAACCAGTCTTCGGAAATAGAAATTAATTCGAAAATCTTGGCAACATGGTTATTTCTTACAAGACTAGTTTTCTTATCATCTGACAAAAACTTACATATTAATTACTGTTGATGTTTAAAATAGGTAAATAAACCTAATTTATATAGGTCATCCTCAACATATCAGTGAAGTACGTTTGTTTTAGAATTCATTTTCAAAAATTAATAACTCCCTTAATAAGGGGTATTTTTAAAAAATAATATTTTTCTACATTCAGTGGGGATCTGCGCAATACCCAGTTTTAATATGTACGTGTATTTCAATAACACCCTGTATAGTAAGCCACGGTCATAGAAAAAGTATAGTGTTTAACTCGTCGAAAAGCATTTTCTGCAACTCGGCTGCGCCTCGTTTGATAAACTGTTCTCTCGTTTGCAGAAAATGCTACTTTCGTCACTCGTTAAACAAATATTTTTCTCATGGAAATTTGTAAATGTCGAAAATGTTTTATTTTTCAGACTATTTATATCCAATTATCCCGATTAGTTCAATTTTTCAGTGTACGTTATGTCAAATTTAGGTAATTAATCATATTTGTTCGCGATATAATTACTCGTCAACACATTAAAATTCAATATAAATTAAAAAATTCCTTAGATAAAGTAAATGGTACACAATCTGACAACGTTCCAAATACACTCACCATTTAACTAATCGTGTGTACGCATGTGCGTCGCTGCTCAAAAAAATAGGCAAAAAAGTAGGCATTGTTTTCGACTTGCAGTTTCGTGTATTCTTTCAGTATAAGTTTGTTTTGATTTTTAGTGAAACGGGTATTTTTAAGAACATTATTGGACTTTTGTAATTTATTTTCTGTATAAATTAGTGTAGTGTCGTTTATTCATGGATATACAAGTTATGAAGAGATCAGGTGGGTGTATTTTACTTCTTTCATTGCTTTTTATATTAAATTCTTGAAATATTATTGCATTATTTCATATTTAGATACAGATTAAAATGTTAAATTTGATAAAATTCAACTTTTTATGTACCTACATAAAGTAAATATTGCATTTTGTTATAAAAACAGTTTTTATTAGAAAGCAAAAAATATTCTTTAATTACAATGACAGGTCCCTTATACGGTGACATATCACTTTAGTGTCACAAAATTACAGATTTGACATGTTTTAAATAAAACTACAGATAGATTTTCTTGATTTTTGGAAAAAAAATTGCTGATTATAGTCAAAATTCAAAAATATGGTCTTTCCAAGTTGGAACTATTTTTTTATCGCGGATGTTGAAACTACCTATTACTTGACAGAAGCGTAGTAATTTCGATTCGCAGATGCTCTTTTGTGTGTTTGTCAAGAATTTGATTTGATTTATCGCAATTTTATTTGTTTTTATGTTTTACATAGGTTTTAAGTTTTTTATGGATTATTTACCAAAGACTGTTTATGTGGTACTAAATATTTGTGAGCATATTGGAGTATAATATGTATTTTAAATCAATATATATTCCT